ATTGAATTTATTTCCGGCACCTTTGGCGTGCCGGCATTCTTCCAATCACATGGCCAATCGTACCTATGCTTTTCGATAAGGCAAAAGGACATAATAATTGTTTGTAAAAGTATTCGCCTTCGTGAAGAAAACTTAAAAAAAGCTATATATTTCCCAGTATAATTTCAAAGCAAAATTTCGAATCAAACAGCGACAGAATAAGCTTTGTTTTTAAATGAGGCTTTGCATATAGTATTGGCGATGATTTAATCCACGGAACGAATCATTTAACACCTAAAAAAGCTGGTGATTGTTGCCATTACAGAAAGACCAGTTGCAACATTAAATCGTAGCAATTCGTTATTTTCAAGACGCATTTTGCTGATTATATTGAATAAAATAACTTTTTTAAAAAAATAAATAAAAATGAAAGCAAATGAAAGATACTGCGTTTCGTTGTTTTGTCTTTAGCATTTAGGTAATTGTTATTCTCATCGTTAGATAATAAATATTGTTTATATAAATAATTTTAATTAATTGCCTGCATTATATAATAACACATATCATTGCTTGCTTAATGCGATGCATCCTCGACCTTGAATTTTGATTGCGCGATTAATCTATTCTATTGTATATACTATATATATATAGATAAAGAATTAACATCGTCTTTGAAACAATTTATATTATCCGTTCCTTAAAATCAAGTTTTTAACTATGCCGAGGTTATAACTATTATAGGTACCCAATAAAAGAAAAAAAGGAATTAGATAAAATAAAATTGATTCTTACATCTTTTTTTTTTATACACGAAAACTTTACACGCGACGATTGCATTCTTAAAAACAATTCCGACCAATTAAATCGAACCTCATTATCATTATGTTTTTAGGTGAATTGGAATGTCGATCAGAATGACTTGTATTGCACAACGATCTTTTTTTTTTTTAAAAAAAAAATCTCTATTTATACAGTTTTTACGTAATATGTCACGAATAGCGAAGGCAACATTAGTATCTGTGACAATTTTATCAACAGGAACTATATTTGGAGTTCATTATATTCAAAAAAAAGAAAAAGAGGTAAACATTCATAACAGCCCTTTTACATATAATTTAATTAATGTCTTATACCAGTTTGTGATAAGGTTATGCATGCAGGAATAATAAGAGATAAAGAACGTAAACACGAAAAATTGAAGCAAAATCAGTTAGAACATGAACGACAAGTCATGTTACGAAAAGAATATGAAAAAATTCAACCTGTATTACCACGTGAAAATGAAAAATCGAAATAAATTTTGGAATATTTATTTTTTATTGTTTAATGTTAATATTATTAAATATTTTTTATTAAAATTTATTACTAAGGCCATACAAATTTAATTACTTGGTTTTCATAACATGAAACTTTTAAATAGACCCGGCCGGCCGGCTTTTTTTTACATATAAAATTTTATAAAATTTATATAAAAAAATTTTTTAAACCCACCCGGTTATTAAAATTTTTTTATAAGTTTTCAAATTTTGACCCGGCCGGGTTATGAAAACCAATTAATTAATTTTGCATGACCTAAAGTCAATTTTTTTCTTTAAAAAAAGGACAACATATGATCTTAATTTGATCTTAATGTCAAGTGTCTTACGGTCTAAAAAATAATAATAGGTTAGTTTATCCAAAATTGATTATATAAAAAATTTTTGTTCAAAATTTTTATCGAATCTCAGTCGCCATCCTGTCCTAGCTTTCGACCGACTCGAGTTTTTTGTTCTGGTGTTACACAAAATTTAAAATTCAATGGCGCTTCAAATATTAGTAGCATGGAAGAGCCAAAGAGAAATCCACCAATTTCTTCACCAATCCTTAATGGTTGACCATCTATATTCTTACTAGTATTTTTATAGGACATTTCTGTATATGTCCCAACAGTAGCTCCATTTTGATTCGTCCGAAGAACCTGAAAAATAATTCGTAAACTACGAAAAATATCATATCTTTTTTTCTATTTGTTACATAAAAACAATTTAAATACCTGATCAAAATTAATCTTGATTGATCCAACATTAGTAGATCCAACTGGTATCATTGCAAAAAAACCATGTTTCCATCTTCCTAATAATGCAACCCGTTCATTCAAGACAAATAAATCTGGTAACAAATTTAACATGTATGGTGATACTGAGAATAATTCACCTGAAAAAAAATAATAATAATAATCTTTGTCACATAAACTATAATTAAATTTTCATTAAAGTATAAATTCAAACTTACCCGCGAAATGACGCCTTGCTTCAACAACCCAATTTGTTGGAGAATGAAATCTGTGATAATCCCCAGGAGCAAGATAAATAGTACAATAGAAAAGTCCATTTTCCTTTTTATTTATTTGCCATTTATAAGTACTATCAGGCGAAATGTCTATTGGTAATTCTGAATTGTTTGCATTGTCGATATAATCACGTCCTAACAGTGCACTTAGCGAATAAGAATTTCCTTTTATTGGCTCTACCCATCCATCGTTTATTAATCCAAAATTAATAATTCTACCATCAGAAGGTGATACCTAGAAATGTATTAACAAAGAAATCTACAAACAAAAAAAAAAAATATTTAACAATAATAAAATCGAAAAAAAAACTTACGAGGACAGCATTATTATCTATTGGTCGTACACCAGGTTTTAATGATCTAATAAAAAAAGAACCTAAATTTGGATAGGTCTTAAGATCGGGATTTTCAATCTCATCTAAATTACAACCAAATAACCAACTATATAATTTATAACAAGGCTCTCTCAACCAAACGGGTAAAATGTATTCATTGTTAATTTTTCCCCATAATCGAGACATTGTTCTAAATGGAAGGTTGTTTAGAATATGAAGCTAAACAAAAAAAAAAATAATAATAATAATTAATTAATTAATTAATTAATCAAGATGATAAATAAAAAAAAAGTAAAATTTTCTTTTACCTGCCAAGGATCAAGTACAGGACGCTTTACTACTTGTGGATCGTCTTCTTGATTTATTTTGCGTTTTTTATATTGATAACGTAAAGTTTGAAAGGCAACAGCCGTAACACAAACACCAACACCTATAGTGAGCCATTTATGTGAACGACGAAAAACGAAACCCTTTGGTGAAGTAGCGAAACCCCTGGAAAAAGGTGAAATTCCCGGTGAAAAGCGAAACTCCTGGTGGAAGGCGAAGCCTTTGTTTAAAAACGAAACTTTTGGAGAAAATTGATGCCTCTGAATACGGATTCTTGATAAATGAAAGGTGTGCATTATGGTAGCTAGCCATTAGACACAGAAATGTGACTTATACGTGTATGATAATTTTTTTATTTCTGATTAACTGCATCTCGATCTGAAAATCAGATCTCTTGCCTCAACCCTAAATTAGGGTTAGAGTTAGGCTTAGGTCAACCAGTGCAATGCAGCCAACAATTATAGACGTTAGTAGCTCACCCACAAAAAATTTTTCGGTCATGTGACTTTTTTATGGCACTAGCCAATTATTTTTCGAGATCAGGTGTAACGTGAAAATCAAAACAATCAAAACAATCGAATAAAACAAAAGAATTAAAGTAATAAATTGAGAGTTAAGGTTTGGGTTAAACACTTTGTTAAAGCGTTGCTATTATCAAAAATTTGCAAGGAATTTTTTTTGTTAATACGCAGAAGATGATTTCATAGACAAATTTTAGAGTTTTTAGTGATTTTTTATAAAAAAAATATAAAAAGCGTAATTTTTATGTTACACCTGATCCTGAAATTCAATTAGTTTGCGCCACGATAAAGTCATGTGACCGGAAAATTTTTTGTGGTATAATTACATAGGTTCGAAATAACGCACACCCACCTTTGTGTAACTTAATAGCTGCCCGATACGAGCAGCATTTTGTCTCGAATCGATATTAATTTGATCGGTTGATACATTATCGTGTTCGTGGTTTTCGTATGTAATTTTGACGTAGTTTTGCGATTAGTAATCGTTAGTAATACTTAAGGGGATAAAGTAATTTGTTTTTTCCTACTACCTGGCTTTTATCATCCTACTCTAGCAATGACCTGTCGGGACGATTTTCTCCAGACAAATTCTGGTTTTTTTTTTTCAACCCACCCGTCAAGTAGCTGTAGTAACAATACTCATGGTGAACAGTAGCATGCGTAGGTTATCCATTTGATACTTTCAAATTCTGCACTGTATATCACGAAAGTGAGAGGGACAGAATACCCATAATTGTTTTTCATTTGCAAAACCTCCAATAAGAGACAAATGTGTTTTCTAATAGTTTAAGTTTAAAATTCTGTTGCTAGTTTAGTTATAATAATAGAACCCATGTGTTGCGAGATTTTGAAAAAAAAGTCAAAATAAGGCGCATGCAGGTGGCGTTATTACGCGCATTTTTCAAGATCAATCGTACCGATGATTTGGTTAATTCTTATTATTCATGATCATTCAAATCAGGTCTCAATTCTAATTATATTCCATTCGGGTCATTCATACTTGCTATTTGTTGATGATTAATGCTTTATATTCATCTTTTCTAATCCTCCATAGTCACATTCCAGTTGGGTCACCTAATATTTATACACACTATATCAGATATACTAAATAACCACGATTTGAATAGCTTTTACCTCAAATACAAATGTCCTTTTCATACTAAATTAACACAAGTAAAATGAAGTTAATGGGATAAACCTAATACGAAGTACAGTACAATGATGAATTGTATTTAACTGTTAACAGTTAGTATGGTCTAAGATAATCAATCACGTGGATTCAGTACAATCCACTAGCGCTAGGGGTTATTCAAAAACCCCAAATCCGGGTCCACTCCGTACCCTGCTATTTTTTATCACCAAAATCATCTTAATCGTTATCTCTATGTAACAAAAGTTTAACGTTAAACTTATAAGGGTAATTTATCCGCACAATTATGTACGATTTGTTCAGTTGATCCGACGGAATTACGCGGATTCTGCAAATTCGGAAAATTCGGAGAATTCTGGACGTCATTGTTCATTGCTCACATATAATATAATAAATATCTTTTATTGTTATGAGAACAAAGTAGATGGGACAATTTTTATGCGTTATTTTTTTTTTTTTTGAGATACTGTACAAGCGATTTTTTTGCTCATTAAATGTTGCTAAAGAACAAGCGCTAGCGGCAAAACCCGAATGGGCGTGAAAGTATCAATTTCCATTATCGTTATTTCTTCTTCATATATAAGGTTGAGACAAGCTCAGGAGTCGATGTAACACTTGCCAGCTAATTACAATGCAGCTAATTCTGTAATTAAGTAATTTTGGCGTTTTTTTTCTTATACACGTGATGTAAATATTTGATCACATGTTTCGCTGCTTGATTACGTATATATAAAGATAATATTTGGCTAAAATAGTCTAAAATTATTCGTTTGTTTTATGACACATAAACGGTATATATATTATCTTTTTGAACGAGTGTTTGATCTTTAATATTTTGGCTAGAATTTCAATTATTAATATCATTTATTCTAATATAAAAAGGCGCTCGTGATGTATCTTGCACGCAGAAGATGTCATGGTTCAAAATTCTATATACTGCTCTGGATAACTTTTCTACTGTTCCAGATCGCTTCGGCAAAAACTCCATCACGTCGTGACAATGAACAATTTTTAAAATCCCTGCTCGCTCCTAGAACTGCATATCTTCCTCAATCACGTCGCTCACCTCTTGAACTCGGAATACGGCAAAATGAGCCTGAACGTGATCCAAAATGCCCGCCTTGTTTCGACTGCCACCTTAAAGATTTTACATGCTTGCAATTTTCTAATTGTAGTGATTATAGTGGAAGATGTGAATGCCCTCCTGGTTTCACTGGTGACGATTGTTCGATGCCAGGTATGTTTTTTTTTTTTTTGATCTAATTCTGGATTTTTGAACGATGAATTATAAAAAAAAATGAAAAGAAAAAATACAAAAAATATAGGATGAATCAGTTGAAACTAAAATTTTATTAAGAATTTAAAGTACTTATTTTCTTTGTTTCTGCTGATTCATCCTATATATAAGGTTAGGGTTAACGCGAGTTCACACGTGTTGACAACGTGGGATCCACAGACTATTTCAAGATTTGGTATAACGATACTATTTAGTCGTGGTTTGATGACAAAAACTGTAAATTATATTTTTAGCGTGTAGCTCCTTGGCAGATGGACTTAATCGCAAACCACGCGATGCAGATCAATTTTGCCAATGCTCTGAAGGATGGGGAGGAATCAATTGTAATGGTTGGTATATTGTAATCATTCAAATTCTATATATTCTTTCCTTTCTCCTTCTTTTGAAGATGACAAATTTCATGTTACACTACAGTCTGTAATGACGATAGGTCTTGCGATAGTATGGTAGCTACAGGGATGAATGGTACTTGTTATAAAGGAGGATTTATTGTACGCGAAAATTTTCAAATGTGTGATGTAAAAAGTAGGTGTTATAATTACCTATTACTATTTTATATATTATCATATTTCCTAATTAAATTATTTCCACATGAATCTTTTAGATAGGAAAATTTTAGACATGCTTCCTAATCAGCCTCCTCAAGTCACTTTTTCTTGTAATCGCACCACAGAAAATTGTGATTTTCAGTGTAAATGTCTTCAGAGTTTTTCATTACATATAATTATATTATATTTGCTCTTTCACTCATTTTTGAATTTATTAATACAGTTTGGATCAATCAAACAGAATCATTTTATTGCCATTTAAATGGATGTTCATTTGATCAGGAAATTACATCTGATGGAAATACTACAGAGTATCATTGTGATGCAATTAAATGCGAGTGTGTAATTGGGGAAATGTTATGTGGAAAAAGTGGATCTATTGGTACGTCGTTGGATTGTTCAAAGATAGTTTAATCTGTAATTGCCTCATCAATAAAATTAATTATTGCATTAGACCTATCTGATTGGCTGGTGGAAGAAATCAAAGGACCGGCCGACTTTAAATGTAAAAATACAAATGAATGTGAATTTTCGGGTATGTGAGTCATAATACTTCAAAATAATTTTTCATCTAATTAAATTAGAAAAACTTATTATTATTTTGATTTGCTTCACTAGAACCGGCAATGGATGAACTAATTTTAGCTATCTTTGGTGATCATCACATCTATCTTGACTGTGATAGTGGCGAGTGTCTCCATTACACTGAAGTCCCCGGGTTCGAGGTGAGTATATGATACATATTTAGCAATAGATCCAAATTGGCTGCTGATTTTCGTAATGGAAATATAGAGACCACCTAAACCTGACAATACACCAGTTATTGTTTTGTCAGTCTTAGCAGTACTCATTTTTGTTGCGGTTATTTTTGCAGGTAAATAATAGCTAAGATGTCTAACCTATATATCAAATTTATCTATATGATTAACTTGATTATAAAAATTATTATTTTAAGCTACTTACTATTTATCTCGAGATCGAAAATCAAATGGGTCGTACGAAATTTTACTTGACGATGAGACCGCCAAACTTATGGCGGATCACACTCCAGCTACATTACTTTTCAGAGATGTCGGTTATTATGTCGGAGAAAAAGAGATTCTTTCTTCAATACACGGAGTTGTAAAGCCCGGGGAAGTTATGGCAATTTTGGGAGGTTCTGGTGCGGGTAAAACCAGTTTTTTGGACATTCTTGCTCGTAAAAATAAAGCTGGTGTTGTTAATGGTGAAATATATGTAAATGGAAGGGATGTTAAAGACGAGGAATTCAAGAGTGTGGTTGGGTACGCGTTACTATTACTATTATTGCATGATATTCATATTATATATATTATATATAGTAACCTTATCTATTATTAGATATGTCGACCAAGAAGACCATCTACTTCCAACTTTGACTGTTTATGAAACCATATTATATTCCGCTCTTTTACGATTACCTCGTGAAATGTCAATCGAGGCGAAAAAATTTAGAGTAGTTGAAACAATGAAAGAACTCGGAATTATTGAAATTAGAGATTCCATGATAGGAGATACTGGTATAGTTAACTTTTTGTCTTTCAGCTAAATTTAAAAGCAATAGCTATCTTTTATGATATCAATTTATTTTCGTGAAAACAGGTACACGATCGATTTCGGGTGGAGAAAAGCGCCGTGTGTCGATTGCTTGTGAGCTAGTTACTTCTCCATCAATTCTTTTCCTTGATGAACCAACTTCAGGGTTAGATGCTTACAATGCTTACAATGTAATTGAATGTCTTGTAACTTTGGCAAGAGAGTATCATCGTACTGTAATTTGTACGATTCATCAACCAAGAAGCAACATATTTGCTTTATTTGACCAACTATTATTGCTTGGCAATGGCCACATGATATATTCTGGTGAAGCAAATAAATGCCAATCTTATTTTGAAAGTATCGGCCATAAATGCCCTCCTGGGTTCAACCTTGCAGATTATCTCGGTATGTTTTAACAATGTTTTATTAATTTCAAGAAATTTATGCATAATAATTACTTATTAATATGTTGTGTATTTACTTAATCATTAGTTGATTTGACCATGTACGCTGCAAGACATCGTGACAATACGGATGAAAATCAAGATGCCAATGGAGATGCTTCTATACCAGGAGGAACTCGACCTCAGCTTCCATCCCGAAATTCGATTCACGAGATTCAGGACTCACAGTTATACGCCCCATCTCCATCTCGAACGTCAGAAGAAAATGGAGGTTCTATTGAATTAAACAACCGGCGTCCAAGAGAAAACGACGCTCCAAGAGAAAATAACTCTCATGATATTAACATGAGAGAAATTGGTAATAACATGAGCGAACATTTAAGGATGTTAGTTGAAAGTTATAATACGAGCCAGATTGCCAATGGAGTTAGATCTGAAATAAATCGTGCTGTAAACAGGTAAGAAAAGTTAGCTTTTGTAGGATTTATGATATTAACAACTTTTTTTAATATAATATTTGTATAAATGAATTAGCAGCGAACAGAATGAGCCAGTTTTAACATCGGTTCAAGAATCATTAAGTTCTCATCGCCGTGCGTCGTGGACTACACAATTTAAAATTTTATCGGATCGCACATTTAAAAATTTATATAGAAACCCTATGCTAATGTTAACACATTATTGTATCAGTATTTATCTTGCATGTAAGTTTTATTTAAATACGTACATATTTCAATTACGTCATTATTAACAGTGAATTATTTTAGTACTTTGTGGTGCTTTGTTCTATAAGGTTACTAGTGACATCGCTGGGTTCCAAAATCGCATGGGTATACTATTCTTCATGTGTGCTCTTCTTGGGTTTGGATGCTTGAGTTCTCTTAATGTTTTCGCGGCAGAAAGAATAATATTTGTTAAGGAACGGGCCAACGGATATTACGCTCCAATCACATATTTTACTTCCAAGGTATATTTATATTTAAATCCAGATTTCCTTTAATCATACAAAATTTAAATTAAGTAATATACAATTATCATTTATCAGGTCCTCTTTGATATTATACCATTGCGTGTGGTACCGCCCATTCTTATGGGAATGATTATTTACCACATGGTTGGCTTAGTTCCTGGACTTACCGAATTTTTCAAGTTTTTACTAGTTCTGGTATTGTTTAACCTTACCGCAGCTAGTATATGCCTATGTATCGGTATTATCTTTAAAGAAGTTGGAGTTGCCAGCTTGTTGAGTAGCTTGGTCATGCTATTCAGCATGTTGTTTGGCGGCTTGCTTCTCAATAAGGGTGAATATTTATATTTATATTTATATCTAAATGTTGAATTTTCGAGTCCAGGTAGCTGATATTTTCTATTATAGAAACAATTCCGAGTTATTTGGCATGGTTGAAAAATTTATCATTTTTCAATTACGCATTTGAAGCTATGCTTGTCAATGAAGTTGTTTACCTTCAGCTGACAGAGGAAAAATACGGACTACAAATAGATGTATGCAATTTTATATTTATGTTAATTATAATTATAATATATTTAATCAAATTAGATTAATTGAATTTTATTTTTTTCTGTAACAGGTGCCCGGTGCAACTATTTTATCAACCTTTGGATTTGATGCTTCAGCTTATTGGTCAGATGTTACAAAATTGGCCCTATTATTTATGAGTTTCATCACGCTTTCTTTTATTTGTTTACAATTATTTGTGAAAGAGCTTCGTTAGATGAATTTTTATATTTTTGTTTTTGATTAATTAATAATATCTTTAAACAAACTATTTATTAGCTAGCTACTTTTGTAATGAAACATTATGCTACGCGAATTATGATGTGCGTTACATTATTTTGCTACTCTTATATCGAATTTTATAATTCACAATGTTAATAATGCAATGCGAATTTTATGTATCATATTTTTATATAAATAAACTATATAATGAGTTTATTTATTATAATAAAATTTTAAAATATAAACATATTTATACTGTATGTAAATATATGGTATAATGTATAAATAATATTTTTTAAATATATATATATATCAGTTATAGGACATGTGTTATTAATTATAAATCAAATTTGTTGACTTACCAAATTTTATATATAAACTTTTGCAAAAAAACTATTTAAATTTAATTTACTCGAAAGTATACATATAAACCTTTTTTTAAATTTTAAATATACTGTATATTCTTTAGTCTTTAGTTTGAAGTTTTAGTTCTTAATTTTTAGTTTAAATAGAATTTTTTTAAAAGTTGATTATAATTGGTTAAAATATTTTTTAAAAACATAAAAAATATAAGTTTTAATTAAATTTAATAAAAATAAAAGCAAGGTTTTATTTTATTTTATTATATTTTATTTTTTTTTAAGCAATTATGTTGCAACTCTATTGCTTTATTAATAAATATATTTTTATAAAGAAACTTTTATCTACATGTAGAATTTACTACTTTATCTAAAGTGTGGCTTACCTAGTTACTAAAAAGCACCTATGTGTAACCTACCTAAGCAAAAATAATTTTACTATTTTGGGGGATAGTTAAAGCCATGTACCCATGTAATGTGATTATTGAGAGATGTGATTATCACATACGTATAGTACATAATCATACTAGTGCATATATGTATGCATTTTTTTGTAATAAAACCTGTCTTTCCTACAAAATACAATACTTTGATCTTTTTTTTTGATGTTTTTTTTAATGTTTTTTTTGACAGTATTTTTTTTTTCTTTTACTAAGTGGGTTTTGCAAGTTTTTTTTTACAAGAATGCTAATATACTAACATAAAATGCCTATTTACACAAATGTGTATATATCAGATATTAAAGTAAACTGCCCTACTTACAACAAACATATCTTCAATTTTTTTTAATAAAGTGGACTGCCCTACTTACAATGAACATGCCTTCAATTTTTTTTTTAAAAAAAACTTTTTTTAAAAAAAACCCTTTTGATATGAATTCGAACTTAACTCCTAATTAGAAGTATAATATTCTTTTTAATATTTATCAACTGGTTGAGATCCCACTAGATGAGTTTGATAGCAACTGGTGGCCCCTAGTCACAAACATCTGGGTTCAATATAATTATAAGAATTATATAAATAAAAACTCATAAAGACATATAACTGCCAATTCACTAAATATTATTTATCAAGTATGCAAAAAGATGAAATACTGTATAAAAAGTGCAGAAAAACTAAGGTTCGACCTGAGAATCTATGCTCTGCCAAAATTAAAGTTTTTAGAATTGTTATAGAAATGAAAGTTCAAGTTGAATAGTATAAAGATTTACCCAATCATATGCATACACTTAAGAATAATAAAAGGCTTAAATGATTAAAGGCAGTTTGGGTTTTAGTTAAGAGAGAAGCAGTAAAAAACTATCCACCTCTAGTAATAGTTGATGCTATTAAAGAATGTGGAGCTGAAAAGTTAGGTTTTGAAAAAAGCCTAAAAGAATTAAGGCACAAGAAGGTTACTAACATACAATATAAAGCTTGAGGTTTCTAAGAGGCCCTCTTATTAGTAGTTCAAAACTAGAGTTGAACATCTGAGAGACAGTTTCTTTTTTAAAAAACTATAAATATCAGGTTAAACATTATGAAATTACAAGTAAACATACCCATGGTTTCGTTTTCATACATAAAAGCAATTAGAAAAACTTTGACGCTTACTCTTACTGATTCCACCCACAAGACTAACAAACATAATTGGCGCTTATTTACCGTATATTACCAAAAATAAGCTACCTTTTTTGGCCAAAAAAGTGACACAAAAATTATGGGGGTAGCTTATTTTCAAGTAAAGTTTCGAAAAGGTTGATTTTTATTATTTCTTTAAAATCAAATCTAGAAGTAGTTTCTATATATAAAGTCAAAATTCTATTAAGTAAATCGATAAAAGTCACTTAATAGCGATTGTTCAGGACATAAAAATACACATATTCTGAAAGTTTGAAGCAAATCAGAGACTTTTTACTAAGATGTTTTTGCATTTTACGTTCAAACGTAAAATGCAAAAACATCTTAGTAAAAAGTTCTTCGATTTGCTTCAAACTTTCAAAATATGTGTATTTTTATGTCCTTAACAATCGCTATTAAGTGACTTTTATCGATTTACTTAATAGAATTTTGACTTTTATATATAGAAACTACTTCCAGATTTTAAGAAATTATCAGAGTAGCTTATTTTCAGAATAACAAATTTTCTTATGTTTCTTCTCCAAGAAAAAAGGGGGTAGCTTATTTTCGGAGTTATATTCAGCAATATACGGTACCTTGTACATCTGTGATAATTATGGATATTGGGATATTGGCTTTTATTTTTATATAAATAATAAGGATAGTAATACAGTTGCAGAAGCATTAAAAATAATAAGGTGTTTTGAATGTCATTAGATGCCTTATTACTTTTTTATTGATCAAAGCAACATAGAATCCAATACTGTCAGTTTGGCTTTCCTGAGTTTTCAAGCAAGTGAGCAGGAATATGATATTATTTACTGTATGATACATGTTATAAGAACCTAGTTAAGTAAGATGTATGATGTGAAAACCTGAAATAAAATGATTCATATCATGCATAAATAGACAAAGATTGGTTGTGAGAAAGTTATTAAACAAGCAGTTGCAAACTGCTCTGTTTCTACTATAAAAAAATATATAAAACAAAATTATGTTAAAAATATCCATCAGCGGGCTCTTTGGGCTTGCTAGCATTTATCACTTCTTCTGCAAATGATTCCACTAACTCTCTGGAATTGTACTATAGCGAATTAAAACAAATGACTTCGTTTTATCATAGTATAATTGGTATATACAATAAAATTGTATTACTTGATACAAAAAAAATGATTAGACTCAGAATATGTAGCTTTCAAATAGAAATACATCGGTCCAATCTAGTCAGTTTCAGTCCCTAATGGACCAATTAAATAGTGATTTACGGTCTGGTCTGGTTTAGGTATCGGTTCCAAAATGGTCTTTTTATAATTACATCATCTATAAATGTATAAGATCTTATTGGTCAAAAATAACATGATTATATAAACAAACATTATGTGATCTAGCTTACACCTGATCAAGAAATTTGATTAAGTGATACAAAGATCACAGTTATGTTTACAAGAACTGGTCCTAGAACCGGTCCTTTAATAGTTCTATAGTCCTTATCAGTCCCAGTTCAGACTAGTCTTTTTTGGAACCGATGCAACTCTACTTTCAAATTTCATATTAAAAAACATCAATAGTTGGAATTGATTATGAAATTTTTGATGAAATTCACAAACTTCTCTATCCTATTCAAAAGATAGTTGTTGATAAGATTCTTGGTGCTAAAAAAAGGTTAGAGAAAAATAAAAAACCACCAAGTTTAGTATCATTAGATTACCAGTATTACTCTGCAAACATATCTTTCATAACTATATTTATGGTACTAATAAGCTATTAACTGCTAATGCTTAGATAAGATTTTAACAAATATTTGAAAATAGTGGGTTTGAAATATATGTTTATCGAGAGTTAGTCAAAGTTGAAAAACTAGAGAGGACTGAGGCAAAAAAAGATGCTAAAAATAGACGAATAATCGTAAATAAGTTAATGGAATGTGTATATAATATATACTAGAGAGTCAAAGAAAATAGGAATACTGAACAAACAAATACTTTTATTAGAAAATTAAATTCTTATATAGAGCTGGTTTTAATAAATAATCAGATTTGTTAAAAAGGCAAGTATTTAATAATTTACTATTATGAATCATAATGAAATCAGATTAAAATGAAATGAAAGTTTCTATTTAACCTTCTAAAACCCACTTATATAAACTCTACCCTAGAACTAACCTTTAACCCAAACCTCTAAAAATTTTTATTTTTCAGTGAATTGTTTATTTTTAAATTGTACAATATTTCATTTTAATTTGATTTTATTTTAATCTGTCATATTTATTGTTGGTTAAAAATTTGTAGTATAAGTTAATAGATTATTTATAGTTCTAGTATTCAAAAGAAATCATCAACTTTTTCTGACAATCACTTAGTCACACAAATTTTGTTAAAGAGTTGTGGCCTAATATAGTGGTTTGTCTAGAGATCAATATACTGCTAGCAGGACTCCTCTAAAGGTAACATTCAGCATGCAAGCCAGGAGCGTTATTATACAAAATAACTGGCAGAAGGTGCACTTGTATAAAAAATCTTGGTAGAGAAAAGAACTCTTACTCTTTGGACACTCCTCTTTTTTTATTGACAAAGCTCTTAGGCCATACTTCTTTGAAAACACTAGGAAACAACAAAATATCCTGTTATTTTTTTCAAGCCGCACTTCTTTTACTTAATCAAGTGATATCTTTTTACTCTCTCTTATCCTTCCAAAAAATTTCAACAAGAAGTGGGGATTTGGTTTACCCTCTCCAAAAGATCGGCATTGTTTACTTTTCAAATTTGGATGGATTAGCAAAATGCAACCACATGTTTGTTTATAGACAAATATAGTGCTTTTTTATAGAACTTAGTCTGAAAACTCTAATTACAGTAGCAGATGGCTTGAGACACAGGTTCTCGGATAATAGCAGCACCTGGCTTGAAATACGAATTAGGATGGGCAATGAAATTATCCAGAGTTGGTAAGAAGGTTGAAAAGTAAATTTAACGTTAAGATAAAGCTTTATAATAAAGATATACAAATGTTGTATTTGTTATATAATTTTTATTAGCTT